ATATGTGGAATCTAAAAACAAAAACAAACAAACAAACAAAAACAAAAGCATAAATACAGGACAGAAATAGACTCATGGACAGAGAATACAGACTTGTGGTTACCAGGGGGGCAGAGGGTGAGAAGGGATAGACTGGGATTTCAAAATTGTAGAATAGATAAACAAGATTACACTGTATAGCACAGGGAAATATACACAAAATGTTATGATAAAAATACTTAATACACAATTAAAATAAGATTATATATGACAACTGTACAAATATACACATATAGATAGGTGTACAGACGATATAAACGTAGACACAAAGGTGAGAACAGATACAGATGAAATAGTCATGGACAGGAAATCAGAAACTTTAGTTCCAATTTAGTCACTAGTAAGAAAGGAGAAATGCCAAAATGTTAATGGTGGTTATCTTTGGGTACTAGGATTAATGTAATTAATTTCTATTCACTGTACTTTTTGACAGTTTTCCTATTTTCTTCAAACCTATTTATTAATATGAGAAAAAAGATTGTTATTTTTGAAGGTCCAGGAATTCTGGAATTCAAACTCAGTCTTTGACTTAATGAAAGGAAATCTGCAATCATTATTACAGAATTGAAACCACTGTCATAAAGAGCAAATATATTCACAAGAGAGTGGAAGGTCTATGAAAATATATGTAAGTAGATATATGGATATCACCTGGCCTCTGAAATGTAACTGGATTTCTTTATATCAGACCCAAATACATGACATTCATCAAAATATAGACTAAAAAATGATAGAAATTAATGGAACAAATTTAACAGACCACAGACTTTTTTCGCAAATTGGAGAACACTCTGTAAACCGAAGAGAAGTTCCTGGAAGATGTAAGTATTTATGCTGTAATCCTTACAATACAGAGGCAGCATTAGTACAAAGTGAAGACCCTTTTATTCACGCCCTAGCTCTGCAACTTTCTCTCTCTGTGATGCTGTCCAAGTGTCTTAATGTCTCAGTGCCTTAATATCTGTCTCAGTACATCGGGATAATAATAATATCTACTGCATAGGATAATTATAGTAACATATGCCAGTATTTGTAAAGTGCATAGAATAGTGACTAGTACATGGTGAGCACCATAAAAGATTTTGTTGAATACAGATTTTTATATATGTATACAGGTTAACCACACCAGAATCTATTCAACCTCACCTACTTGTTCCAAATCCCACTTAGCAGTCACACCGACTCTAAGAGACTGGATGCCCCAGGTAAGTACAAGACAAAGTTGTAAGGACAGATAATGATGAAAAAGCTTACGCTCCACAAGCATGTACCCCTTGGATTAGGGCTTTTCTCAGAGCCACCTTCACATCCTTGTTTCTCAAGCTGTATATCAAAGGATTCAGGGAAGGGGTGACAATATTGTTCAACACCAGAACCACAGAGCCCAGCCTTGGGCTGGAGGCAGGCCAGAGATAAATGAGGACCACCGGTCCGTAGAAGAGCAGGACAGAAGCCAGGTGGGCGCTGCAGGCTGAGAAGGCTTTGCGCCTGCCCTGTGAGGAGTTGATTTTCAGTACAGCGACCACAATGCGAGTGTAGGAAGTGAGGATAAGGAGGAAACACACGAGGGCCACGACACCTACATTGGTGAAGCTCACCGCCTGCACTAGAGAGGTGTCTGCACAGGCCAGGGGCAGCACCACCGGGATATCACAGAAGAAACTGTCCACCTTGTTGGGGCCACAGTAGGGCAACTTAAAGATGAGGAAAGTGAGGGCAGATGCATGCACACAGCTCCCCATCCAGGTGCCTAGAGTCATGATGGCGCACACCCTGTAGTTCATGATGACTGTGTACCGCAGGGGGTGACAGATGGCAGCAAAGTGGTCGTAGGCCATGTGGTGTAGAGGAAACACTCAGTGCAACCCAGGAAGTGGTAAAAGAAGAGCTGGGAGGCACAGCCCTGGAAGAAGATGGTCCTGCTTTGCCCCATTAGGTAGAGCATCATCTTGGGGGAACTCACTGAAGGGAAAAATATGTCAAACACTGACAGGTTTCCCAGGAAGAAGTACATGGGGGTGTGGAGGATGGCGGAAGTGAGGACGGCCAGAAGAATGAGCAGGTTCCCCAGAAGAGTGAGCAAGTAGAAGGCAAGAAACAAGACAAAGAGCACATTTTCCAGCCCGTTTGTGTGAGGGATTCCTGTGAGGACGAACTCAGTTACTGGAGTGTCATTCCTCATCTTCACGTCTAGTCCCACCTGGAAGATCAAATAATGGCCTCGCTGAGAGGAGCTTTTCCCAAAACACTAATGACTTCATAGCACCCACTGGAGTGTGATAATATCTATACACTGCAAAGAACTTCTAAATGGAAGTCAGTCCAGTTGTCACTAATTAATGTGCAACATTAAGTCATTTATTTGTCATCTGATTCCTCAGAAGGACAAGAAAGAACATGAGAGGCAGGACAGGACAGAGGGCAGAGAATGAAACCTACACTTGGATACACCTGAGTTTAAAAGCCGAATCTGCTTCCCACTCTGTGACCTTGGACAACTTAAAACATCTCCAAACCCCCTCTGCATCTGTAGACATAGTATGGCAATATCTTACGGTTCTTGTGAGTATTAACGATTTTTAATGTATACAAAGTCCCTAATGTAACACCTGCTCCTACCTACCCTTGTTCAAAAATTCACTCAAGATACAAATATTCTGATTTTATAAAGTATTTCTTAGGCTGACCTGCAGAAGTTTGGAATTGATTTGAATGACTGATGTGAATGATTCATATAAATGCTTTCTCCATAATCAGCTGGAAAAACTGAAAACTGATCATTGTCTAGTGGGAATACAGCAAAAGAGGATGGAAACAATAATATTTAAGGTAGAAAAAAGGAGCACGCAATTGCCAATATTAAAACAACTATCCACTTTCAATGTAAAATTTAGTCTCTCAATAGAACTTACGTCTGCAATATGACTAAATGTATGCAATCACCACTCAGGTTTTAAAGGTCAAACAGGGAATATCTTAAGAAAAATCCAAGGATCAGTTAAGTCAGTACAGCCCAAACTCAAATAGAGCCAATTCCCCTGGTCTCCTCACCTGCCTCTAGTGCACACAACCCATCAGATGAGGAGAAGAAAGTGCTCTAGAGAGAAGACAGCTACAGATGGACGGAAACAGTGAACCTGGGCTGAAAACCAGGCTTCACAACCACCCTCCTCTTTCCTTTAAGATGCTGTGGAACATGAGGGCCAGGCTATGAAACCAGAAAAGGTGAACATCCTTCTTTGCCAGACTCAGTCACCCAGGCCTGAAGATCTAGACCCGATAATGCCTCTGGTCCCTGAGCAAAGGAGTGACATCTGTTCTCTCAAGAGAGGAGATGCTTTGGGTGTTCCTTTGGGAACCTCCCCACAAGTGGGCAGTAAAGAGAACAGAGGGAACAATTAGACTGGAGACTTTCCCCTCCTTCCTCCTTTCTCCCCACTGCCTCTGCCTCATTCATTCTTAAAGTGTAATTATGTAAAAGCATTTAGTTATTTTCAGTTTTTAAATCTCTTTGATTAACAAAAACTCTGGGGTGTGTTTTTTCCTCTAGTGGGGAGCCATCCATTGGGTTGAGATATTTGAAATTGCCCACTGGCCCTGTGCTTGGAAGAACTGGGTTTAAAACAGAGCTAGGGATGAGGAAAGTAACCACTTAAAGAGGCCAATATCCCATTTGGTGTTAACAAAACTATTTTTTCTACAATTAGCTTTATAATCCCCCATTACCACCTTTCAACTGCCTGAATTAATTTAGCCTCTTCTAAAAACCCTGTTTTCATCTAAGATCACTACTAATGTTTATCTTAGCCTACTTTAACTACTGTAACTTGCTTCAGTTTATGTTTCAAGAACCAGTCTGCTGATGCTGTGTAGAGAAAGGATCAGAGCAGACAAAGGCAGACTTAGGTAGGGCTGTGAGCACATTATTTTTACTGGCTGCCCAATGGAACAAGCACGTGGATCTATTAAAAAACGTTATCACTAAAATCACTTTGAGATAATACAAAATGCACAAAATGACAATGGCTTAAGTAATCTTACAACATTCTAATAATAACTGTCTTTTTTCATGCTAAGGAATTCCAAAGAGTCTTCTATCTCCATGGTTTTGAAATAATAATTACTTCTTACTGAGAATACTCTATTTTTTTTTAACCCAACTCTTCAAGGCCCCTTTATTTCATCCTGGCACCAGCCCTATAAGTATATGTTTTTTTCTTTTTAAAGATAAAAATCGGGCTTAGAAAGTTTAAATAGTTACCGAAGTTTACTCCAAAAGTCAATCACAGAACTTGGATTTGAATTTCAGTCTTTTTGCATTTAAAATTTATGTTCACTTCTAACAAAATGGAATAAATAATTTAAGTCTCAATTTAAAAAGTAAACATGTTTAGTCACATACTTCTCATTTTCTTGTTCAATTAGCTTTCTTTTCAAAATTAAGGTCATTAAATCAGATGATTAAAGCTTAAATTTTTTTGACTAGCAATGATTCCTATACTATTCTAAACAACTTTTTTGAGATATACTTGGTTGCCAAGCTCTGGGCAACCATTAATCTACTTTCTGTCTTTATGAATTTGCCCTTTTGGATATTTCTTACAAGTGGAATCATAAAATATGTTTTCCTTTTTCCTGGCTTCCTTCACTGAACATAATGTTTCAGAGATTCATCTCTGTTGTTGCATGTATCAGTATTTTGTTCCCACTACTGATGAACAGACTGTATCACATGGATATTTATGTTTCCTGAACCACAGGGTAAGATTCTAATTTTACTCCTAGTATCTACAGACCCCCTAAAAGTTATTGGTATAATTAGAAACATTTTGAATATTTTGAAATCATCACTATCCAGTCAAAAATGAATAATTTTGGATTGTGTCACATATTAAACAGTTTAGTGTGTGAATTTTGAATATATATATATATTTATTTATATATATATATAAAAAAAACTAATAGCTTTGATTAGTTTCAGCTTCTCATCTCAATTTCTCTTCTATGAAAAGCAGTGGTGAATTAGTATAAATCAGCCAAGCACTGAAATAAATTATAATTAGTAATGTGCCCCAATCTTCCCTTTTTCAATTGCTTTTACTACAAATTGAGTATTTACTTTGCATCTAAGAAATTCCAAGAATTAATTCTTTAAGGGGTTTATATATCTCATATTACTAGCCTTATGACTCATTAACACACACATTACGAAGACACAAGCCATAATGAGCCTCCGTATATATCACCTCACTTCAAATTCCCAGAACTGATGTCCCTGGCAAAATCACAAGTGTCGCTAAGACAAGTAACATAGTAGCCCAAAATTGTATTATTCTTTATATTAAGCGTTATCCCTAGACTTAATATATCATTAATTCAGTGAACAAGTATCTGTTGTGAAAATTCATTTGTCACCTGTCATTCTTGAACATCATCAAAACTGGACTAGATTCTGTGGACCAGCCAAAACCACCCCAAGGCAAAGTAACTAGATCACCAGAAATGTCACTGAGGTGACACTGTGTTTGTTTCCATAGGTCTTTCTCCCACAATATGCTACACATATGAATTTGCAGGTCATATAAGCTGTCTTCTATTTCCCACTCACTAGGCCCTATCAGGATGATGTTACTAATATAGTCGACAAACAGAACGTCAGCATAATATCCTGTAAGTTTGTGAGTGGACAGATCACTAAAGATTAAACTGTTCCACAAAAACCATGAACCAAAAGAGGATCTGTCACATAGGTGATAAAAAATTAGCTTTGAACAAGTAAATGCAAGATATAGTGAAGAATTTCTCTTTAAAACGTACAAGAGGAAACTGAAATTCTTATTTTTAATATGGTAGAATTATCAAAAGACATCATAAAGATAGAGAAAAAGATAAGTTACATACTGAGAGAAGATATTCACTACACATAAACTAAAGAGAGAATAAAAATATTGGCAATTGTAATATAGAAAAATATATAAATCAAAAAGTAAAATCAAGACAAAAAATCAGCAAAGTCACATACAGACTTCTCAGAGAATGGAAAACAAGATTGAAATCAAAGAACATTCAGCTCCACTAGTTATCATGTAAATGCATATTAAAATTATAATAAGATATAGTTTCATACTTTCAAGATTAAGAAAAAAAAATATGAAATCTAAATATACCAAGTACTAGCAAGAATGAATACCAAAAAAGCTCTTTGTTCTATTTAAAGTGAAAACTGGTACAAACACTAGACCTTCAATATAGTTACAGATACATACTATACGCAGTGGTCCAGCAGTTATTTTCCAGCAATCTACATAAATTCTGCACATATGTAGTTCATACCATGTATAAAAATATACTTAGCAGTTCTGCTTACATATGGGAAAAAAACTGTTAAACTCCTCAGGTATTGCTTGGAAAATGTTATCTGCTTTTTCACATCGTTGTTTAGTGTGAAAGAAGAGAGAAGAAACCGAGAAAAATGGGGAGAGAAAGAAATGTGTTTTATTTATAAACTAGATATCACAGAACTTCTCAAAACACTGAGTAAACTATAGCCATTAAAATCAATGTTTTAAACACAATTTTTAGGCCAAAATGCTGTTGTGGGATTCCATTTATATTAGTTCAAAACAGGAATGAGCACAGATATAAAACTATAAAAGAAAATCTACGGGAGGGTTAACAGAAATTTCAGGATACAAATATATGTACGTATCTGCATTACTGGGACATTGTGCTATACACCAGAAACTGACACATCGTAACTGATGGTACCTCAATTAAAAAAAAAAATTCCAATCTCTCTCGCCAGAGATAACCACTACTGACATTTGGTGCATTTTTCATCTTCTGTACACGTTTTAACATAGCAGATAGAGCTCATACTCCTTAGGTGTAATCAAAACAACAACGAGATGTCATTTCACATCTATTAGGCTGGCTTTTATCAAAGAGACAACACATAACAAGTGCTGGCAAAAATGTGGAGAAAAGGGAACCCTTGGGCCCTATTGGTCAGAAAGTAATTGGTGCAGCCATTATGGAAAACAGTATAGAGATTCCTCAAAAAATCAAAAATAGAACTACCATATGATCCAGCAATTCCACCTCTGGATATTTAGCTGAAGAAAACAAAAACACTAACTCAAAAGGACATGTGTATGCTCACTGCAGTATTGCGTACAATAG